CAAATTAAAAGAAAACTGCAAAATTGGTAACATTATGCACCAGGTTCTGTTCTGAACAGTCTGCCTGTACCAACCTACTTACTTATCAAGTAGCTCTGTGAGTCCTATTACTGTCTATAATTAATAGATGGAGAAATCGAGGGCCAGCAGTGGTGACTAAACTCGGAGTCCCCCAGCTAGAGGAGCATTATGCAAAGATCTGAGCCCAGTAACTCAGCCCAGTGCCTCATTACCTCAGCAGAGTGAAACACAAAATGTCTTCACAATCTGATTCCAGTTCAAAAAGGGATTGATTGCCTTAATAGCATGGCCGACAGTGACAAAGTGTGCTGCAGTCTGCAGCCAGTGCTGTCAGGCAGGCTGGGGCCTTGGAAGGGAAGGATCCATTGTGCCAGCCATGCGCTGTGACCCACCTTCATATCAGCCTTTCCTGGTAGACCTTTCTAGGTGAAGAGCACACAGAACACAGCTGCGCTATAGTACAGCAAACTGAACCCAACAGTTAGCCTGGCATTTCTTCCAAATGGAGGTCAGGTCACTGGGGCGGGGTGGGGGTGGGGCAGACCAAGCATCGTTGTCCTCCTGTTCCGCTCCCCAGCTGGCTCTGGGGGCTATCGAGGTGAATCAGCATGCTCACCCCAGATTCATGGCTCTCACGCCAAGAACTTGCCAGCAATCACACTTCACTACTTGGTTCCAGAGTGGCTGTCCTCCGCTCTCAAGGCACGCCCAGATTTTACCCATTTTCTGTCTATTGGGTTGTTGTCACTGGCCCAAACTCAAGTGCCCACTAGCCAAAATGCCTGCATCCACTCGATTACATCCAGGGAGGTTTATCCACAAAACGTTCTTTGTCCTTAGGATGCTTGCATAAGAGTAAAGAGCCCCTGGGCTGATGGCCTCCCTGCTCCTCAGGAGCTCAGAACAGAACAAAGGCCAGAGGAGCCCATGCTGGAAGAGGGTGCACCTTGGCCTAACTGTGATCCTGGGTCTTCTGGGCCATCCAGAGCAGGGCAAGGCAAGCTGCAGTCTGGGTGCAAATCTCAGCTCTCACTGCTTGTGTAAAGCCCTCCAGCTAACCAAGGCTTAGGAAGACAGAGAGGCCCAGACAGTGCAAGGCCACAGTGTGTCACTTTCTCAATCCATCCAGCCAAAGCCTCGAGGCCAACTAGCCCTCACAGAGCGGCTCTGCTGTAGCCCTTGGCCTCAGAGGTCTTGCGGCCAGGCCTTGGAAGCATGTCTTTGTGCCGGTATCTGTTTCCCTTTGTAAGTGCTAAGCCTTGAATATCATTATTTCATTCCTTCCGCCGGACAACCCAGGAGCCTCCAAGGACCTTCCTGCTGGGAGGGCAGCTTCTTCTGCACCTCACGGGCAAACGTGGATCCAGGGTCAGCATTCTCTTCACAGATAAGTGGTGAAATCCTGGATCCACACTCCACAAGGTATGAATAAGCTACTGGGTACCAGGCTTCAACCACTAAAACTGTTCTGCACCAAGGGGTGATCTGACAACACACTGAGCACTTATATTTTTAAAACTTACTACAGCAAAAGATGCATCGCCATTGTCTCCCTCAAGACCCGCCCCCTTGCTATGAAACATACCCCCATTCTTGTCACTTTCAAACATTTTACAGTGTTCAGCAATTTCTGCTAAATAAAAACATCGTGTGTGTCTTCACCCTCCGTGTTCACAGAGCCGGCACCACGCCACTCCTGGCTGCTGCCCAAAGTAAAATGAGCATTAAAGGGTGACATTTTGAATTGATTCAGAACATCAAGGCAGCCACGGCAGCACAGCAAAGGCACTCAGGGAGGAGGGCGCCAGAGCTTCAGCACGAAGGGGCAAGAATGATAGATGTGTGCGTTCAAAGCCAGGGGAAGAACTGCTGGGACCTGTGACAGCGTGTCTGACTAGAAAGTCTCTCGGTCGTCAAGGACCATCTGCGCCTTCCTGCTGCAAAGCAGTCTGCAATCCTCCTTGCAATGCTCCATTTCCAGCGGGGTCTTGTGCCCTAGCATCCACTTGCCGGAACCGCTCAGCTGCCTGGAGATGAGCAGTGACAGCCAAAGTCACCTCTTGGAAGGACCTGAGCAGGAAAGAAGGAGGAAGCAGGAGCCTCCACAGAGGCACCAAATCTCAGAAATTCACCGAGACTGAGCCAGAAATGGTGGCCCAGGCCTATAAAGCCCTCGGGAGCAAGGCAGGAGGATCCCAGCTCAAATCCTCCCCTACATCACTGACTCAAATAAAAAACAAAATTAAAAAACAAAAAGCTGGGGATGCATAAGAAAGAAAGAGGAAGGGCCTTCCAAATAGCTCAGCAGATTAAAGCACCTGCAAGCAGACCCAGTAGCCAGGTGTTTAATCCCTGGGCCTGCTATGCTAGCCCCACCCCCAGGGCATGCTGAGATGGCAATTGAGACTGGGCATGGTGGTGCACCTGTAATCCCAGCTCTTGGGAGGCTGTAAACAGGCAGATCACTATGAGTCTGATCTAGTAGTGAGACCCTGAACACCCTGTAGAACCTTCCCTAAAGTACAGGAAAAAAAAGAAAGAAAAAAAGAGGAGGGGAGTGAAGGGGAGCGGAAGGAATGGAGAAGAAAGAGAGGGGAAGGGAGGAAAGAGGAGGAAAATAGGGAGAGAGGAAGGAAAAGAAAGAGGAAGAAATAAAAGAAAAAGAAATTCACCAAGAATGGAAGTGTCACTAACGTATAACAGACATGTAGAATTTAGACAGCCTGGGCATAAACAAAATCCAGAAATACATGGGAAAGAAGAATGACTAAATGTTAAGAACATTTATATAATTCATCACTTGTATAATGCACCATAATCCTAGATCAAAAGGAAAATATGATTTTAATAATTGCTAGAAAGTTTCCTGGCCACATTCAACATCACTTTCTGATTAGAAAAGAAAGAGCAGAGAAGAAAAAAGTTTAATAAGTAAGGAGTAGGAGGAACCCATCTCCCTGGCCCCCATGATGTGATAAAAAGAAAAAAAAAAAAAAAGAGAAATAATTCAGGAAGGCGTTTTACTCTAACATAAATAACCAAAACTTTAATAGCCTTCATATGTATCAAAAATACTTATTAAAAGAAAAACATAATAGAAAAAATACTTCATTCACAATCATAAGTAGTTGGAAATAAGTTAACACAGCATGTCCCAGACACATATGAAAACAAATATAAAATTTGCTGGGGACCATATAGATTGGAAGCAGTGGAATTCAGGCCACTTTTTCTAGATAGTAAGAAACCAACTTGTAAATAATCCC